TCCAGTCCTTATAAACACCCCAATTTAATTTTAAAAATATATTTCTAAATGAGTGCCAAGAACATATTAATTAAATTCCTTCTCCTAAACCTCACCATCTTTTGGCAGATGTAACAGAGGCTTCTACAACTTTTTTCCTTCTTCCTCCCATCTCATTTTCCCCCTTGTTTAAAGAGGCTTGGATCAAATCAATCAATGGCATCGCCAATAGTATCTTGGTGGTTCGGTTCACCTTGGAGGAGATGGGCTTCACAGATTATTTTTGCATGGTCTGCCAAGACTTTAATTGTGCTTCTTTTTTGACTTGGATGATGTTTGGAGTTGTCGAAGGCTTTCATGGCTGGAATCACTGGGTTGTTGTAGGTTTTTTCGGGCTATATGGCCATGTTCTAGAGGCATTCTCTCCTGACGTTTCACCTGCATCTATGGCAAGCATCCTCAGAGGTAGTGAGGTCTGTTGGAACTAGGAAAATGGGTTTATATATCTGTGGAAGGACCAGGGTGGGACGAAGGACTCTTGTCTGCTGGAACTAGGTGTGAATGTTTCAACTGACCACCTTGATTAGCGTTTGATAGCCTGGCAGTGCTTTGACATTAATATTGAAATCAGAAATATATACAGAAAGTCTTTACTGATGTTTGGAGTCTTTATGTAAGTCTCCATGTGTGTAGGGCTTCTGTAAATTGTGTGGCCCAACTATTGATTGGGTTTGCGGATGACTTGGACATCTAGAAATGGCAGTTCTCCTTCATTTTCTTTTTCCACGGTGAATGGGATGTTTGGGTGGATGCTGTTGAGGTGGTCCATGAACTTGTTTAGTTCTTCTTCTCCATGGGTCCAAATGGTGAACATACACCCTGGACATTCCACAGATATATAAACCCCATTTTCCTAGTTTCCAACAGACCTCACAAACTCTGAGGATGCCTGCCATAGATGCAGGTGAAACGTCAGGAGAGAATGCTTCTGGAACATGGCCATGCAGCCTGGAAAACACACAACAAGTCAGTAACTGTAGGTTGTTTGTGAATTCAGTGTTGTTAGATAGAATCTGTATGTCTATATATCTAATGTTGTTTTTTGTGTAAAAGTTCTGATAGTAGTAGTAATAATAACAACAACAACAACAACAAGTGGTCCACGCCTTAGTCACCTCTAGACTGGATTACTGCAATGCACTCTACGTGGGGCTGCCCTTGAAAACGGCCCGGAAATTTCAGATGATCCAACGGGCGGCAGCCAGGTTGTTAACTGGGGCTCCTTACAGGGAGCGGTCAACCCTCCTGTTCAAGGAGCTCCACTGGCTGCCGTTCATTTACCGGACCCAATTCAAGGTTCAGGTTCTTACCTACAAAGCCCTGAACGGTTTGGGACCCGCCTACCTACGTGACCACATCTCCATATACGAACCCACACGATCCCTTCGATCATCCAGAGAGGCCCTGCTCTCAATCCCACCAGCATCGCAGGCACGATTGGTGGGGACGAGAGAGAGGGCCTTCTCGGTGGTGGCCCCTCGACTCTGGAACTCACTCCCTAAAGACATCAGACAGGCCCCAATTCTGGCAGTCTTCAGGAGGAGCTTGAAGACATGACTGTTCCAGTGTGCCTTCCCGGAATAATGATCCCATAGCACTTTGTCCTCCAAGCACTTTACATGTGTTTAGGTCTGCTCGTATGCCCTTCCACAAACACCACTATCACCTTTTCGTTCACGTCCCGGCATTACTTCCAATTTTAATTTTACATTTGGCCTTCCCACTGTTTTTCATTGTGTGTTGTCTTATTGATAATGTTGTATATTTTACTGTCTATGTTTCTTATTTTAATTGCTTGTATTGTTGTTTATTGCTTGTATTGTTGTATTTGGGCTCGACCTCATGTAAGCCGCACCGAGTCCCTTGGGGAGATTGTAGCGGGGTACAAATAAAGTGTTATTATTATATTATTGTTATTAACAACAACAACAACAACATTCAGGATGGATCACAGTACACATACACAGCACACATTCAATTCCATTTTTGGACAGACAGGACAGACAAACAGAACAGAAAGGCGGTATGTTGTGTCGACGTCCAGCTTTTTGGTGCCTTGAAGGTCATACTCGAATCCAGACACAGGGAGTGCTGTCGCTCCATCCTCTATGACAAAGAGCCATCAGGACTTCCTCTTTCCTTTTGGTCACTGGGCCTTTTCTGATCTTTTTCTTTTATGGTGTCATAAAATACCTCCCCCGCTTTTCTTTGTTGTTCATTCGTTCAGTCGTCTCCGACTCTTCGTGACCTCATGGACCAGCCCACGCCAGAGCTCCCTGTCGGCCGTTACCACCCCCAGCTCCCTCAAGGTCAGTCCAGTCACTTCAAGGATGCCATCCATCCATCTTGCCCTTGCTTTTCTTTAGCGGTACCTAATTTCTCTAGTTACAGCTCTAAGCTGTTTTCGGTATGCTTAAGTAAACAATGAGCTGGGCTGACAGTAGGGTGCTCATGCTGACCCGGGGCTTCAAACTGGCAACCTTTCAGGTGGTAGATCTTATCATTGCTGGTGATTTACAAGCTGTGCTAAAGCCCTTTCTCTTACTGGAAAATTGCAATTCCTTTAAAGTTATTGAAAAGTTATTCAGAACAACTGCATAGATTCAGTATTTAAATTTTTAAAATAAATTTAAGGAAATCTTTGAATAGATAACTTCCTGTATTTGACTGAGGCCGAAACTTGCAGTCTCGATTTGAAGTGTTCTCACCCTTGTTCATATGCATTTTGCATTGCACCTTGTTCTGTGTTTAATTGGTTTTATCAGTTTGCCGTTGTCCACCTTTTACCGCTGAGCAAATTGTGTCTTTGGACCATAATAAAATTTGGACTGATTAATTGAAATCTTTAAATAGTAAGCAGCCTTTCTGGAGGTCTTTCCACGGCAACCACTAAAAAGAGTTTTCTCCTGAGAATTGAAAAAAGATCGGCTTTCCAGTCTTACGGCAAAAACCTACTGACGTTCTACTCTGGCACTTTAATGTTGACCTTTTAACTTGCTGATTTCAACCAGTAACTATTGTTGCACTTTTAGTTGAATTTTTATTTAATTGAGTTGGGTTTTGTTAATTTCTGTAAGTGTTGTTTTATGTTAATTCGTGTTGTTCCAATTTTTATAAATGCTGATATAGTTATGTGGCACTATTATGTGCTGCTGTGTAAGCCACCCCAAGTCCATTTTGGGAGATGGTGGCAGGATATAAATAGTATTATTATTATTATTATTATTATTATTATTATTATTACACAGCAAACAAGATCACTATGTTGGCATCTGTATTTGATCACACGTTGGACTTCCCAAGTGTGATGTATTGGCAAATAATGTGAGCAGGTCCAAATAGGGTGGCCTTTTGCATCTGACAGATGGTAATTTTGTCAGCGCCAATTGTTTTTAAGTGCAGGCCAAGATCTTGAGGCACTGCACCCAGTGTGCTGATCACTACTAGGACCCCCTTGACTGGCTTGTGCCAGTCTTTGCAGTTCTATCTTTCTTCTATCAAATCATGTAAGCTTTTCCAGTTGCTTCTTGTCAATTCTGTTGTCACCTGGGATTGCAACATCGACGATCCATACTTTTCCCATGATCATGAGGTCAGGAGTATTGTGCTCCAAAATTCTGTTAGTTTGAATTTGGAAGTCCATTATTATTATTATTATTATTATTATTATTATTATTATTATTTCTCTGCCATCGGCACCGTAGTTCTGGGAATTCTCCATCAATGATATAGTAATATATAATACTAATATTGTGCTATGCTAATAATATAATATATTGTATGTACATATAATGACCATAATATTGTAATACAATACAATATTAATACTAATACAATATAATAATTATATATTACATGTAATATTACTAATAATATTGCAGTATAGTGGTATAGTAAAAGTAAAGGTAAAGGTTTTTCCCTGACATTAAGACCAGTCATGTCCAACTGTGGGGTGTGGTGCTCATCTCCATTTCTAAGCCGAAGAGCCAGCGTTGTCCGTAGACACCTCCAAGGTCATGTGGCCAGCATGACTGCATGAAGCGCTGTTACCTTCCCGCCGGAGCGGTACCTATTGATCTACTCACATTTGCATGTTTTCAATCTGCTAGGTTGGCAGAAGCTGGGGCTGACAGTGGAAGCTTACGCCGCTCCCCGGGGATTTGAACCTGCGACCTTTCAGTCAAGGAAGCCACAGGGAGGAAGGAGCAAGCTTGTTTTCTGCTTCCTTGGAGACTAGGACGCGGAACAATGGCTTCAAACTACAAGAGATGAGATTCCATCTGAACATGAGGAAGAACTTCCTGACTGTAAGAGCTGTTCAGCAGTGGAACTCTCTGCCCCGGAGTGTGGTGGAGGCTCCTTCTTTGGAAGCTTTTAAACAGAGGCTGGATGGCCATCTGTCAGGGGTGATTTGAATGCAATATTCCTGCTTCTTGGACTGGATGGCCCATGAGGTCTCTTCCAACTCTTTGATTCTATGATCTCAGTGGTTTAACCCACTGTGCCATCGGGGGCTCCTGGTATAGTATAATATAGTAATATATAATACTAATATTATGCGATGCTAATAATATAATATATTGTATGTACATATAATTTCTAAGCCACTCTGAGTCCTCTTCGGGGTGAGAAGGGTAGGATATAAATGTCGTAAATAATAAATAAATACATAAATTCTCTTGAGCTGCTGCTTCTGTCACGAAGAACCCCGGGATCAGCAAAATCAGTCCCCAAACATTCCCCCAAGGAGGCATCATAGCAAAGCCAATGGAATGCATATGATGTGGGATCACATGGAAAAAGCTGCACCAAAACTCAGTTTCAATTCAATTTCTGAGACATTTTGCAGCCTGTTTCCAACGGGTTGCTGACGATGGGAACCGTGTGGACAACTGCATGCAAAGGGGCTCTGAAATGGAGTCTAAGGCAATGTGACAAGGTCCAAAGAAAGAGCCAGGCCATTCCTGCAAACCTTTATTTGTACTGGTAAAACCCAATAAAGTGTGAAAATCCATCTGGCACTTCCGCAGCGACCAGTGAGATGAGGTTCCACCTTTCGGCACTCAAAGTCTGAAGGGCTTCTCCGATGCACCGGCATGGCCTCCATTTCCACAAGGTTATGGACCATGCAGATGTGTCCCGTCAGGACCAGAATAGTGTATGCTGCTCTTGGGTTCCATTGCTTCACTAGTCGGAGGGCTGCTTTTGGTTTTCCACAGCTTCCCTTCCACTTTTAGCATTTGGTCCAAGAGTTGGCCTGGTGCTTTTCTCCAGCAGAGCTAGTCCCTCTCGAGGTGGCGGTACTTCTTCCGCAGCACGGACACCTGGTCTTTGAAGAGCACGGGGTCGAGGCGAAACTGGGAATGCACCAGGGGCATGTACCCGAACCAGCTTGCAAACTGGTTGACGCAGTCCTGCCGCTGAGAAAACTGAAGGTTCCCGTTGGATGGAGGGGCGCTCTTCAGCAGCTGCAAGGGGACAGAGGAAAACAAAGTAGCTCAAGACGTTTTGCTACGTTAGGCGATAGACAAGATGTAAGAATAATCAGCCCTCCACATTTGCTGGGGTTAGGGCAAACATGGGCCCTCCCGGCGTTTTGGACTACAATTCCCACAATTCCTAACACATAAATTAGGAATTAATTATAAATTACTGTAAATAATCAAGTATAAGCCTAGTTTTTCAGTCCTTGTTTTAGGCTGAAAAAGTCTCCCCCGGCTTATACTCGAGTCAATGTTATTTATTATTTTACTTTGTTGTTATTATCATTACATTTATTATTTTATTATTGTTGTTATTATTACATTTATTATTTTACTTTATTTATTATTGCTATTGTTATATTGTTGAGATTAACTTCACAATTCAGCAGCAGATCAGTTGCACAACTTCAGCACTTTCCAGTAGCTTCTTCCTGCACAGTATTTTCAGTCAACTGCTCCCACAGCCTGCAGTCACGCTGGAACCTTTTACAAACACTTGAGCACATGCCCGGCCATTGTCAGTTTTACTATTGTCTTTCCCCCAGTCTAGATGATATTACAGACTTACCACAGCACATTTATATCTTGTCTTAGCAGACAGGTTCTTTTAATTACATATAGCCTTCGACGAACAACATCACAGCACAAGGAGAGATATACACTGTACATGACTTCCTTATATACAATTCATTTATACACAGCAATCTCTGATTGGTTCCCAACTCATTGACTTAACTCAGACCCAGGATTGCATCATTCACAATCACCTGGACTAGGCCAGAACACATTCCCCAAATGAAGTTCTATATACAGTTAATGCATGACTCAGCATTTCCAATAGAAGCCCATTAGCAGTGCATGACTCAGCTATATTACATTGCAATACATTGTAAAACCTGACATACATTTATTATTTTACTCTATTATTATTATTATTATTATTATTATTATTATTTACTCTATTTATTATTATTGGAGGACATGTAAGTATATTTACATTGAAGAAGGTTAGAATAATGGTTTAATCAGAGTTGGACAATCTTATCTTAAATTACAGTTTTATGTAAATATTCAAAAACATTTATTATTTTATTATTGTTGTTATTATTACATTTATTATTTTACTCTATTGTTGTTATTGTTACATCTATTATTTTACTCTATTATTATTATTATTATTTTACTCTATTTATTATTATTGGAGGACATGTAAGTATATTTACATTGAAGAAGGTTTGAACAATGGTTTAATCAGAGTTGGACAGTCTTATCTTGAATTACAGTTTTATGTAAATATTCAAAAACATTTAACCTACTAATGCCTAAATTAATATAATTTTATTGGTATCCATTTTTATTTTGAAATTTACTAGTAGCTGCTGCATTTCCCACCCTCGGCTTATACTCGAGTCAATACATTTTCCCAGTTTTTTTTTGTGGTAAAATTAGGTGCCTGGGCTTATATTCGGGTCGGCTTATACTTGAGTATATACAGTAATTAATTTATAAATTGACCCCCAACCATAAAATTATTTTCGTTGCTACTCCATAACTGTAGTTGTGCTTCTCTTATGAATCATAATGTAAATATCTGATTTACGTTAGAAATATCTGATTTACATTAGGAATTGTGAGTGTTGAAGTCCAAAACATCGGAAGGGCCCAAGTTTGCCCATGCCTGGGTTGCGGCACAGCATCATTGCAAAAGGAAAACAATGAATTAAAAAAAAAACTCTTTAGGGATCTCTTGGTCTTTCAGCATGATTCTATGGTCAACTTCAGCTAGATATTAACTATAGAATCATAATGGAGAACCTAGAAATTTTTAGAAAAGAATATTTAGGTCCTCCAGCATCTGGTTGACATTGACCATGGAGTGGCACTGGAGAAATGACAATTCATCAAATCTGCATACATGTTATACAGGCATTCTTGACCTGGTAGACTTTAAATCAATACTGGGGTGTGTATGTGTGTGTGTGATGAACTACAACTCCAAAACCCAAGGTCAATGCCCACCAAACCCTTCCAGTATTTTCTGTTGGTCATAGGAGTTCTGTGTGCCAAGTTTGGTTCAATTCCATCGTTGACGGAGTTCAAAATGCTCTTTGATTATAGGTGAAGTAGAAATCCCAACAACTACAACTCCGAAATAACAAAATCATAATTTTTTGAGTGATGGTCACTCCTTGTGTTGGGAGATGTTTTGTCTCCAAATTTGACACACACACACACACACACACACACACACACTAGTTGTCCCCTGCCACGTGTTGCTGTGGCCCAGTCTGGAAAATAAAGTAATGAGAAAGTGTTGGTTTCTAATATATATAATGTCTTTATGCTTGAGGGTAAACAGTATTTCTTGTTGTTTCTTTGTCAGTGTTGATGTGGAAAGTGTCTGGTTTGCCTACTCTGGAATATGCAACATAGAATTGTCCTTCTTCAGGGCCCCTTTGAAATCTATGATACTATATCTGTGTGTGTGTGTGAATCATATCTATCTATAACTATGGCTGCATGGCTCTTTGTCAGGAGGGCTCTGATTACGTTTTCTTGCCCTGGTGAAGGGAGTTGGACTGGATGGCCTTGAGTATTTTCTGTTGGTCATGGGTGTTCTGTGTGGGAAGTTTGCCCCAATTCTGTCGTTTGTGGGGTTCAGAACGCTCTTTGATTATAGGTGAACTATAAATTCCAGTAAGTACAACTCCGAAATGTCAAGGTCTATTCCCCCAAACTCCATCTGTGTTCATATTTAGGCATATTGAGTGCTTGTGCCAAGTTTGGTCCAGATCCATCATTGTTTGAGTCCACAGTGCTCTCTGGATGTAGGTGAACTACAACTCCCAAACTCAAGGTCAATGCCCACCAAACCCTTCCAGTGTTTTCTGTTGGTCATGGGAGTCCTGTATGCCCCGGTTGGTTCAATTCTATCATGCTATTTGATTGTAGGTGAACTATAAATCCCAGCTAGATATCTATCTATCTATCTATCTATCTATCTATCTATCTATCTATCTATCTATCTATATGGCTGGATGGCTCTTTGTCAGGAGGACTTTGATTACGTTTTCTTGCCCTGATGAAGGGAGTTGGATTGGGTGGCCTTAAGTATTTTCTGTTGGTCATGGGGGTTCTGTGTGGGAAGTTTGCCCTGATTCTGTTGTTCATGGGCTTCAGAATGCTCTTTGATTGTAGGTGAACTGTGAATCCCAGTGACTACAACTTCCAAATGTCAAGGTCCATTTTCCCCAAACTCCATCTGTGTTTATATTTGGGCATATCGAGTATTCGTGCCAAGTTTGGTCCAGATCCATCATTGTTTGAGTCCTCAGTGCTCTCTGGATGTAGGTGAACTACAACTCCCAAGCTCTCTGTGTGTCAAGTTTGGTTCAATTCCATTGTTGACAGAGTTCAGAATGCTTGTATTGTTGTGATTATTGCTTGTATTGTTGTGTTTGGGCTCGGCCTCATGTAAGCCGCACCGAGTCCCTTGGGGAGATGGTAGCGGGGTACAAATAAAGTGTTGTTGTTGTTGTTTATTATTATTATTATTATTATTATTGCTCTTTGATTGTAGGTGAACTATAAATCCCAGCAACTACAACTCCCAAATGACAAAATCACAACTTTTGAGTGATGTTCACTCCTTGTGTTGTGAGACGTTTTGTTGCCAAATTTGGTGTGATTTCGTTCATTGGTTCTTTTGTTTTTCAGGTACTCATTACGCACAGAGCATTTTTAGATAGATAGATAGATAGATAGATAGATAGATAGATAGATAGATAGATAGATAGTTCAATCATTCTGTACCAGATTGTCTCTCATTAAGTGCCCAGTATTGTATTTCATCAGCCTCGGAGGTGGACGTTTTTCTCTTCCTTCTCATTACCTACAACCCGGTTCTTGTTACTAAGGATTGAAGCCAGACCATTCTGCATGCAAGGAATGTGATCTATCACAGAGCGATAGGTTCTGCTCCAGAATATTAATTGTCCTGAAATGACAACCGTTTTGTCTCTGCTGCTACTCCAAGGCTATTGATATTGAGTGGCATGCTACCACTCGACACGTTCCATGTAACCTTCCAAATATTGTCCTGTCGCAAATATAATCTTTTGGGAACACAATCGTATCAGTGGTGATTCATTCTCAGGGGCATCCGTCCATGACTCATTTGTCCTGCAGCCTGAATGACTCCTTTTCTGAGCAACTGACCAGGTATGAATGCCAAACATGCAAATTCCTTCCTTTTGGAAAAAAAACACAGAGTTGCTTCATGTACTAACCTGTGGGGAGAGTCTTTTCTCTCTCCCACTCTTACCATAATGTAAGATGCACCCTAATTTCAATATCATCACCCCCCCCCCCCAAATACTTAAGATACACATGCAATTCTAAGACATTTTTAAAGCTGTGGTTGAAGGTTTTCATGGCCGGAATCACTGTGTTTCTGTGAGTTTTCCGGGCTGTATAGCCATGTTCCAGAAGCATTGTCTCCTGACCTTTTGCCTGCATTTATGCCAGGCATCATCAGAGGTTGTGAGGTCTGTTGGAAACTAGACAAGTGGGATTTATATATCTGTGGAATGTCCAGGGTGGGAAAAAGAACTCTTGTCTGTTTGAGGTAATAATAATAATAATAATAATAATAATAATAATAATAATAATAATAATTTATTTATACTTTATTTATACCCCGCCACCATCTCCCCAAGGGGACTTGGGGCGGCTTACATGAGGCCAAGCCCAACAATGCAATACATCGATATACAACAAAACACAGCAATAAAATATAAAGAATAAAATACAATACAAGACCATTATAAATAGTACATCAACAATATATGATCACAACATTTAAGACGAGAACAGCAATCTCAGTAGGCATGGCCAGATCCAATAGATTAAAAATTAAAACACTGAGTGAGACAATAGTTTAATGTATCTGGACAGGGGATCCGAGGGATAAGTAGGATTTGGTT